TATGCATGCAAACCTAACAGTTGCAAAAATCAGTATTTTTCGTGGAAAAAGTCAACCTAAAACAAAATGAAATTCATGTGTTTACTTTCATAAGCCTGATGTGATCTCTACTTTATTTTCCTTTAGAAGGGATCACAATACAATTTGAATTTGAACTGCCCAACGAAGTTGAGCATCAGAATATATTTCTTTACAAAACTCTGATTAGAAAACAAGTTTCAAATCATTTGCATATTTTTTATAGAACAAGAATGATGAAGGATATTTTTTCTTTTCCAGGAAAATATTATCTTTTTAAAAAGCAAAATCAAGTATTTAATGAAGACTTTTACAAACATACTTGATAACACACAAGTAAAATAATTAATTTTGACACTTCATTCAGCACCATAGTAAAAAAAAGTCAGATAGAATTAGATATTCTTTAGTGCCCAAATGGAATTTACAAATCAAAACGAAACTTCATTACATTTTCCTTAAAGTTTTACATACATAGATACTTAAAAGTTCCAGTGAATTATTTCTGACCACTACATATTTAGTTCAACCCAAGTGTGACTTGGGGACCCTTCCTTGATTACAGTCATGTTTCTCAACCTGTGGCCCAGCGATGAACTCTTTTAGGATAATCAGGGGCCAAGACATTTTGCTTTGTATTGTATGTTTTTTAATGCAAAACCATAGGCTTACCTCAGATCTAAATAGGATTTCCTGAATATGCAGCACAAATATATGAGTTGTTAACAAGCTTCTAAGGTGGTTTTCATGTTTGCTAAGGCATGAGAACCACGATTCTCCATGTTGACATGCATTGGTCTTGCTTCTTAGTCTCTCTGCACCTTACCCATTTGTCAGGGGAGATTTAAGTTTCTAGTATCTTCAGAGAAGTGTCTCTGACAATCTCAGCCAACTGCTAGTTGCTAGTGCTTTTTCTGAACTGCAATAATCTGCAATATTTATCTATATGTTCTTGTATTGCCTTAAGTAAGTAATACTAACTTGAAGAACCATTTCATAGTAGGTGTATAATGAACATTTTTAAGCATACAAGTGAATGAATTTTGTCACTTGCACATACTCATAAAAGCTTCATAACAATCAAAATAGTGAATGCATACATCACGCCCAAACTTATCCTTTTGTCCCTTTGCAATACCTCCTTCTTCCTACATTTTCCAACTCCATTCAGTCAGAAATATCTTTCTTAATTAGTCAAGTAGACTGAAATATAAATGTTCTCATATTTTCATCTATGTCCCTAATTTTTAATCTTTGTCTTTACTTCTTCTAGTATATTTTGACAGAATGTTCATTTGGAAAAACCGTTTATTTTTGTTCTATATATCCTCAGAGCCTTTAATTGCACCTAACATTTATTATGTTTTCAATAAATTTCATTGAGAAACAAACTAAGGAGCAGCTAGTTATGAAAATGTATTATATCGAGAAAAAAATACTACAAGGACTTATACTTAGTCTAAAAACATAGACTGTGGATATCTGATTAGTGCTAAGCAACAGTACAAATAAGATAAGGGCTGGTCAGTAACTATTCTGATAATTAATAAATAGGCAATCATAATGCATATTGCTAAGTACTATAATGAGAATAAATAGTGATACAATATGGTTTATTGAAAAGGAACATAGATAACTGAACTTAGATCAAACTTTGAGGTAATTAATTTGCATGATGTTGTTGGGATTTCCTGTTCAAGTGTTTTTCTAAGGCATTTGCCTTGTTCTAATTTTATAAGAAAGTGCCCAGTAAACAAAAATATCTATATTTTTATAATAAGTAACATGAGATTTAAAGAAAACAAACCTTATTTATCAACTCCCTCTCATATATTTTAATGTAAATATGGAGGTATTGTTAGGGGCATGAATAGAATATTAATCATGTAGTTATAAGAAATATTAATCACGCTCTATTAACCATGATTGTTCTGTTCTGATTAGAGAAAGCAGATTCTAACCTGGCTGAGGGTTGTACACACTGGGACATGGGGATGCGCTCCATTCTCCTTTTCCGAGAACCGCCTATCATCATGGAAAGGTTAAGGACTTTGTTCCTGAAACAGTGGAGTCCTGGAGGGGCCTGCCCTTTGTGACCCCAGCCCTCATTGCCTGTAACCTGTAACCATTACGCCTTGCCTGCTTCCCCAGGCCTCTAATTCCTACTTTCCCGTGTAATCTTTGTCCTTCTACCCAATATAAGCAGCTGGCTTATGGGGATGGGGAGCAGGTAGGGCAGATTTTCGTGGATGACCAACTACTTTCCCACACTGGCAGCATTATTAGAATAAATGCTCATACACAGTTTAACCCTCTCTGTTTAAGTGGCTCAAGTAGTGACAAGCAGCCTGGACCCATTCATTGTCCGGTTTCACTTATAATAAAATAAAGTGGAATTAATCATGTTTATTACTATTAAACACAGAAAATAAAAACCTGGGCTAAGATTTGACTGTACACAAAATCAAAAGGGTGGCTATAACTAGTACTTTTTTTTTTAATTTGTCTAGATTATATCATTTAGTGTAAACTGGACTGAATTAGTATCAGAAAACCTTGGAACCAAGAGCTGTAAACTTGCTGTTATAGTTATATCGTGTATCTTAAGGTTAAAAAACAAAACAAAACAGATAAAGGAGCAAGTTTTATTTTTAACAAACAGATATATCTTCAGGATTTACATTCTCAAATACCTTGTATTTATTTTCTGTTTAGCTGCACATTTTATGTTTATTAATAAAATTTCTAGCAACACTGCAGTAAATATCACTTGACTGAGATGCAAACTTTTGCTCAAATCATTTACTGTGGTTATCATTAATTATTGCTGTTTGAGAGCTTAATGCCCACTATTCTCCTAAGAACTTTACATAGGCTATCTCATTAAATCAGCAGACTTAAAAGGTAGATATCATTTCTATGTTAGAGATAAAAATCCTGAGACTCAGAAATTTTGAGTGGCTGAGAGTCTTGGAGTCAGGGCTCTCTGATTTCATTGCTCCCTCCACGTGTACACTTTGGGCTCTTTCAATGATGGGGCAAAGAGGGTGCAGTCTGCATTTTGTCAGTAGGTGTTCACTTAATGCACTAATCTTGACAAGTAATTTTTAGTCTTTATATATGAAGATGCTTTTTTAATGGATATATTCAAATAATAGATACATATCAGCATGTGGGTAAACTGTACAATACATATTACTTTTCTCCTTTTATAAAATTAGAGATTATGTGTCAAATGTTAAGATTTTTTAGTAATATGTGGAAAATTAAACATTATATTTTGCTTTTTATTTTATTTGTTTTGGTTTCCCAGGAAGTGGAGATAGAACTATTTTTCTTTTCCCCATCACTTAGTTTTCTATATTTTAATATGGAGGAATTAAATATAGACATAGAGCTAGCTGCTCCATCAAAATAGCTTCAATGACAGTCACGCTAATAGTAAATTTCTGAGAAATCAAAAAGTAAAAGAGAGAAACACTTCAATTTCCATTGATGTCCAGTTCTGTTAAGACCTCAAAATGGATTTTAGATCAGGTAAAAATTATGTCAGGTAAGAAAGAAATATTTATAGACTTTAGTAGACTTTTAACTTATAAAGTAATTCCCCATATCACTTTTGTGCTGCAGAATAAAAACCAGATAGAATTGTTAGGGAACACTTTAAGTAATTAATTTTCAATTAATGATTATTTTAGTATATTATAAACTAATAAAATGTACACTTTAATGGTGAAAACCAGAAAATAGTACATCCTATACTAAAAGCCTGTCAAAAATCAATGTGCTTATGTCTGTTTTTTTCTCTCAGTGCACAGCAGAACACCTGTGAATCCCCTTGGAAGCAAGGTCAAGAACAAAGTGTACAAAGATCCTTTTTTTTCTCTAGGCATAACAAAGGGCAGTTTTACCTTTTTAACTTTAGTCTGAGGATGCCATGACTCCTAGGAAACTGTGCCTGCAAAGCGTCAGTTCACCAATCACTAGCTTCTGTGACTACCAGCCACAGACACTCAACAGGCCTGCAGTTTTGTGTGGCATAAAGGTTAATATTGAATCCTTAGGTAAAATTCGAAAATGTTCTTGATCTTTAAAAGCCATGGGGAAACTAATAGAGTTTCAGCATGAAACTTTGACACAGTTCAGCCTTATGTTGTATGGACTAATAGTTGAAATGTCTAGTGACTACAAACTAATGAACATATATATATGATGTTGTGGAACAATATGTGTGACAGGTAATAATCATAAAATATCATTTCTAAAGAAACATTCATATACTTTCATCTCTGTTCTCTTTTTCTTCCCTCTCTCAATGGTTTGTTTTAATAAATCTGCCAAAATACCAACAAAATCATAAAAGTGTTGAAGACATACAAACTTGTGTCTTTCCAGCCACTTATTAAAATAAGATAAATTAAATATTTTCCAATTATATTTATAATTTAAGAAACTATTTTGCTTGAATATATATGTTTTGCTGTATCTAAAGGAAACAGGTAGAAATAAAAGGCAAAATCACCAAAGCATACTAAATTAAACAATATTTCCCACCACAACTCTCTAGGTCTTATATTTGTATGAGTTGTTACATATTTTTCAAATAAAAATAGTGAATAATAGTGATGTCTAAATGATCAAAAATTTAATCATTTAATAGTGTTTTTAATTCTCCTTTTTAAGCAAGTAGATTTGGGCACTCAGTTTTTCTAGTGCCACCCAATATTAAACAGCATACTGACTGAAAATTTGAGTAGTGTCTTCTTGATTTTATTTCCTTTGTACAATTCTTTTCTAAATATGATTGACAATCATTTTATTTTGGGATTTTGATATAATGTTTTGATATAATGTTTATATTTATCTTATTCCAGAAATTAAATGTTTAAAATTGTGCATAATGCCCAAACAAAATGACAAAATGAATTATCTAACAAAATTGAAGAATGTGACTTTAACTGTAGGTTGTGCAGCGTACTTACAGTTTTTCACACTTTAGAGGTGGCTTCCAGTTTCTGGTTCCACATGTAAGGAGCTTGAAAGTCACTTCTCCATCCTAACATCAAGTGAAAAGCTGAGCAGATTGAAAAATCGATAACTCTTTTTTGGGGCCATAAGAAAGTTAAAGACAAAGGGCAAAACACTTCCCCCAAGATTTTAAAGACAAATAGGCAAATACAGGGAGCTGTGGCTTACCAGAGCAGAAACTCAGGAGCAGAAACCACTACAATAATCAGCAACAGGGCAGGAAAACCTGACTGTAACTGATGAATTTTTCAGGCTCAGTGGGGACAAGTCTGAGAGTTAAAAACTCCAGGGCGGCACAGTCATAAGAGGCCCTGACACTTTTGTGAGTTTTAACTCAACCAGGTTCTCACAGTAAAAATTGAATAAAAATCTCATGTTTCCAGCTGGGGACAGGGAAAAGGAACCATTTTGGTAAACACACATCACTAAAAGCTTATTCACAGTCCTTCCTTTGACCCAATACAACTTGTGTTGCTCTTAAGAAAAATTACAGTGTCTACTAAAAGGCAAAAAATAATTTAAAGGGTTAGAGCAAGCATAATAGCCAGACATGGCAGGGATGTTGGAATGATCAGACTGGGAGTTTAAAACATATCTGATTACTATGTTAATGTCCATAATGAACAAAGTAGACAGCATGCAAGAACAGATGGATAATATAAGCAAAAGATGAAAATCCTAAGCAAGAATCAAAAAGAATGCTGTAGATCAAAGACACTAATAGGAATTAAGAATGCCTTTGATGTTTCTCATTAATAGACTGGATATGGCTGATGAAAAAAATTCAGTGAGTCTGAGAATATCTCAATAAAAACAAAAACTAAAAAGCAAAGAGAACAAAGACTTGGGGGAAAAAGGAAAGAGCATGGGGTAAAATGTTTAAATCATTGAGAAAAAACCGGCAGCCTCAAATTCTGTACCCTGTGAAGCTATCCTTCAAAAGTGAAGGAGAAGTTAAAATGTTATCAAACAAGCAAAAATTGGGGAAATTTGTTCCTAGTAGGCCTTCCTTGCAAGAAATGCCAAAAAGTTCTTTAGAGAAAAGAAAAATAATATAGGTAAAAATTTAGATCTACATAAAGAAAGGAAGAGCATCCAAAAAGCAACGTGACGTAAAATTTAAAGAAAAACAAAGAAAAAAATGTTTGCTCTGGCCAATGTGACTGAGTTGGTTGTGGTGTCATTCTGTACACCAAAAGGTTGGGGGTTTGATTCCTGGTCAGTGCACATAGGTTGGGGCTTGTACAGGAAGGCAACTGATTCATGTCTCTCTCTCTCCCTCCCTCCCAGTCTTCCCCTCTCTCTAAAATCAAGTATGTCCTTGAGAGAGGATTAAAAAAAATAAAACTTTTACTTTTCCTTTTTAATTTCTAATAGATCTAGCAGAAAACATTTTGTTTAAAATAAAATCTGCAATGTATTCAAGGGTAATATCACAAGATGGCAGAATAAGAGTCTCCTGAATTTTCCTCTTCCACAGACTCATCAAATATACAGCCATACAAATATCAAATCCCTCTAAGAGAAAACTGGAAACTAGTTCAGTGACTCCTACACATCAGGCAACAGAGAAAATAACCATATTGAAATGGTTGCTGACACATGTACCACAAACAACTCTTTAGGCACAGCTCCTTATTATTGGGAGGGAACTCCCCCCCCCCCC